ATGTCGTTGAACAGCGGCCTTACTGGGATTTTTTACTGGCCCTTCCGGCTTTGCAGCATTAGATGGTCTCTTAACAGGAGCTGGCGCTGGCTGCAATGGGTTCACCACTGGCTTGGTAGCACAAACTTGACTCGAACACTGTCCCACTGCTACACTTTGAGTGTTTTCTGGCTGTTTAGGACCTTTAACAACTCGAGTCCAAAATTCTCTTCCAGAGGAGTTTTCAGCTATGCTGCTAAATGCAACTTCCGAAGTATTTTCTACTTTAGATTGCGCCCACATGTTGACTTTAACTGAAGGCACCACGTTTAACTGACCTGAGTTACGAACAAAGAAGGAGTTGGCAATTTCCAACTCAAGTTTGTTGCCGTTTCAAGGTAGCCTCCTAAGGCCAACGATAAATTTGTTGGTTGGTTTGAAACACAAAGCTTTACTTTCAATAAAAAATCTTTTTTTCCCTGATGACTGCAAAACAAAAACTGTTTCTCTAATCTCAAGTACATTAACTCAAGACAACCTAACCGTAGGAGAGGTTTCCGGAAATGGAATGACTTGATGTCTGCAATAGACCTACAGAGTGACAGTTGGTGATGTCACAAAGGATAGAAGCAATGATGTCATGGGGGGGCGGGATCATTTATTTAAACAAAAACAATCTAAAACAAACTACTACAATAGTTAAATTAGTTAAACAAAAGGGTAAAATAATAAGAGCCTACATTTCAAATTGAGTTAAAAGCCAAGGAAAAAGGTTTTTAGAGAGGACCTAAAAACAGCAAGTAAGTCGCCTCCTATTTATAATGGCATCTAAATCCACATTTTGGGGGTAGTAACTAAAGACACTTGCTCCCTCTCAACCTCCTTTCTGGCTTTGGGAAAAACCAACATTAACAGATGGATCGAGCTGAGAGAACGGGAGGGAACAGACATTTAAATGAGGTTTAACAGATAATAAGGGGTAAGACCATGTAAACACTTAAAAAAAAAAAACAAAACAAAAAAAACATTTAAAATCAATAGGCAAAAAATTCCAAACCAATGAACAGAGACTGAAACAGGAGTTATACACTCACCGGCCACTTTATTAGGTACCCCATGCTAGTAACGGGTTGGACCCCCTTTTGCCTTCAGAACTGCCTAAATTCCTCGTGGCATAGATTCAACAAGGTGCTGGAAGCATTCCTCAGGGAGTTTGGTCCATATTGACATGATGGCATTACACAGTTGCCGCAGATTTGTCGGCTGCACATCCATGATGCGAATCTCCCGTTCCACCACATCCCAAAGATGCTCTATTGGATTGAGATCTGGTGACTGTGGAGGCCATTTGAGTACAGTGAACTCATTGTCATGTTCAAGAAACCAGTCTGAGATGATTCCAGCTTTATGACATGGCGCATTATCCTGCTGAAAGTAGCCATCAGAAGTTGGGTACATTGTGGTCATAAAGGGATGGACATGGTCAGCAACAATACTCAGGTAGGCTGTGGCGTTGCAACGATGCTCAATTGGTACCAAGGGGCCCAAAGAGTGCCAAGAAAATATTCCCCACACCATGACACCACCACCACCAGCCTGAACCGTTGATACAAGGCAGGATGGATCCATGCTTTCATGTTGTAGACGCCAAATTCTGACCCTACCATCTGAATGTCGCAACAGAAATCGAGACTCATCAGACCAGGCAACGTTTTTCCAATCTTCTATTGTCCAATTTCGATGAGCTTGTGCAAATTGTAGCCTCAGTTTCCTGTTCTTAGCTGAAAGGAGTGGCACCCGGTGTGGTCTTCTGCTGCTGTAGCCCATCTGCCTCAAAGTTCGACGTACTGTGCGTTCAGAGATGCTCTTCTGCCCACCTTGATTGTAATGGGTGGTTATTTTCTCTATATTTTATTATTCTCCTCTGACCTCTGGCATCAACAAGGCATTTCCGCCCACAGAACTGCCGCTCACTGGATGTTTTTTCTTTTTCGGACCATTCTCTGTAAACCCTAGAGATGGTTGTGCGTGAAAATCCCAGTAGATCAGCAGTTTCTGAAATACTCAGACCAGCCCTTCTGGCACCAACAATCATGCCACGTTCAAAGTCACTCAAATCACCTTTCTTCCCCATACTGATACTCGGTTTGAACTGCAGGAGATTGTCTTGACCATGTCTACATGCCTAAATGCACTGAGTTGCCGCCATGTGATTGGCTGCTTAGAAATTAAGTGTTAACGAGCAGTTGGACAGGTGTACCTAATAAAGTGGCCGGTGAGTATGTTCATGTTTCCTTTACCAGCATCCATTGCGAGGAAAGCCATCAGCTCGTAGACACTCATCTGCCAGCTGGGGTTTGTTCTGCGGGCCCCGTGGACTGTGCAGTCTCTGATGGTCAGCAACATGTTCATATCCAACAAACACAGGAAGCTGCGAAGGCGACTTATTTTGCGTTTCGCAGAATCTATTGGCCCTCCAGATCCATTGAAGGCAGTCTATGGGGTTTCAGGAACAGAAAAGTCTCCAACTTTCCAGTGGGACTAAACAGTGCCATCTTTCGCCTTCTCTGTGGATCCAGGCATCGTGCCAACATCAGCAGTTTTTTGTTTTTTTGCAAGGAGGGGGGTTGCCCTGCACGCTGTGTCTTCCTCTTCATCTGATGTAGCCTCAGTGTTTGAACTGTCCCGCTCAATCATATAATTGATCACGCGGTCCCTGGTGTGTCTTTGGAGGGGAGGATTTGCTGGTGCGAAAGCAGTCGCATTCTCATCAGTATCATTCTCTTCACTTGAAGAATCGGTTGCGCTGTTTTCATTCTGAAATGCTAAGTCTCCAACAGATCCACCATCAGATTCGTAGTCTGACATGCTCTAAAGCATGGCTAAAGCCTCCTGAGCGTTCATCCTTCTTGGTCGACTTAGTTGTGCCATGGTGAATCCCGGGTGAATTCTGACTCTGTGTGCTGTACCTGCTCTATTTATCCCCACAGACATTCTGTAAATTACTCAACTCCTTGAAAAAGCTCCTTTACAACACAAAGGGTGGCAGCTCAAACAAGGAAACCCCTAACCTGACTCCGCCAGATGGATTTGCTCCGCATATCCATCTGGAAACCTTCTGTTGAAGTAATTTTGGGAAGGGGCGAAAATACTGGTTAGCTGATTGGCCTATGTTGGTGATAGACGGGCCAAATAAACCAATCAGATCAATGAAGCATATGACGTACTAACAGCCACGCTACTCTTGCCGAAACCAGTCGGGAGAAGAGCAAAAAAATCTTTTCCTCTGAGAAAAGCCTCCAGAGCAGTGTTTTGCTCTTCTTTCAGTGAAGAAATACTCTGTAATTCCAATAAAACTTGCTCGATAGCCACGCTAACGCTAGTTTCATCGGTTGAAGCCGCCATGTTCCTTAGGCTGAACGGTCGCGCTTCTTGTTAGGTCACTCCTCAACCCGCCTCAAAGGCAACGCTGATTGGACGTTCGTTTGGTGAACGGCTCCAAATTTTCTTCAATGGAGAGTCTCCAGACTGATTAGCGAGTGAAATCTTGAAAGCTCGCGAGATTAGGATGGTCTCAGGAGGCTAGGAAACCCCAGCACACCAGCTGAAGTCACCAAACCACATTCTTACATTTTCATTTGATTTGCAAATGGCGCTCACTCCACCAGAGGAGAGCCATTAACACCTTTGGGGGGATACACGATACAAACTAGGTGCAGACTAAAGTCTGAACTTTGGGACTTTGAGTGGCAGTGGTCTTCAACCACACGAAGGTCGCAAAAGTTTTGGTTGATTAAACTTTTATTTTATATTCCCCCCTGCAATTTTTCCCACTAATTGAAATGTCTTTAAATCCACATTAACATAAATTCAACACAGTGTAGTAAACAAATAAATGGAGGCAGAAGATGTCTTTCAATCATCAATGCACACATTCAGCGACACACAGGAACTCTTTCAAGCTGGGAACCATTTCATTCACAACACCTGTCCCATCAACCAGGAATCAGAATCAGAAATACTTTAATAATCCCAGGGTAATAATTACTTTAGTCACATTACTCCATATGTAATAGAGTGACTATAGGACCAGTTTGATATAACACAATTTCAATCATTGTGGAAAGTGTTGAAGACCCCTGCCCTAATGCTTGGGTCTTCAACGTTTTCCAGACCAAGGACCCCCAAACTGATGACGAGATGGAGCGGGGACCCCTAATTATGCATAATGATTGAAATTGTGTTCTATCAAACTGGTCCTATAGTGACTCTATTAAAGATGGAGTAATGAAACTAAAGTAATTTCTCCCTGCGATTATTAAAGTATTTCTGATTGTGATTCCTGGTTGATGGGACAGGTGTTGTTAATGAAACGGTGCCCAGCTTGAAAGAGCTCCTGTGTGTCGCTGAATGTGTGCATTGATGACTGAAAGACATCTTCTGCCTCCATTTATCTGTTTACTACAGTGTGTTGAATTCATGTTAATGTGGATTTAAAGACTTTTCAATTAGTGGAAAAAATTGCAGGGGGGAATATAAAAAAAAGACTAATCAACCAAAAGTTTCACGACCCCCATGCAGTACCTCCGTGGACCCCCTAGGGGTCGCGGCCCCTCTGTCTAAGACCTCTGCTTTATGGCCTTGCTTGTTATAAATACCAAGAAAAAGCTTTGAAATCCATTTAGTTTGCTTTTATGACAGGAATCTCTAATCAGTGTTGATGAAATGACTCCGGTTATAACAGGTTTAAGTACTGCTGTAAAGAAAGGACCTAACCTGAAATGAGATTTTACAATTGCAGAAAATATTGGTATTACCTGTGGGTGTGTATGCAAATAAACTGAAGGCTTATTACTGCATTTATGATAGGATGCATGTTAAGATTCCTGTTAATCTAATCATGATTAGATGTTGAATTAAAGCTGAGGGAGAATTGTTTAGCTTGTTAAAGATTGACGAAGAAGCTCTTTACCATATAAACTTCTTACTTTGGGTATTTCTCTCTTTATTTTCCCCGACAGAAAATTGCAGAGACCAGTAGTAAAAAAAGCCTGCTGGAGATCAGGCTGGAGGACTCCAACAGACTGGTGAAGTTTTATCAAAATAAGGCAGAGAGCCTAAAAGATGGTAAGCATCTCTGAACAGATGGTTTGTGTCTCCCTCTAGTGACCTTTTTGCCACATGACGGTCAGAACTGTGCACTACTTCCACATCCAACTGGAAAAGCTGATTTTCAGGAGGAATATCTGTCATATGTAGGATATTTGAGAGTTTTATTATCGTTCTCTTACTGCATCATGTCCATTTGTCATTGGTGAATAATAAATAAACATATAATTATGAATCAGACAGTAATATAACTTTAAGAAACTCAACAGTCCAACTTTTAGACCTGTACTGGTTTAATAACTGTTTAAATGGGGCAGTAACATTTATTGCAAGGTTGATAATTATGATGAACATGTTGCAGAGAAGGAGAGTCTCCTCTCCACTGTGAACCAGCTGCAGCAGACCCTGCAGGAGCAGTTCGACCTCAGAGGTAAGAGGATCAGCTGCTGTTCAAGGTGGTGACCTGAAATTCAACACACCTCTAACAAGCTTAAGGCAACAAGGACAGTCAAAAGCCTTTGTTTCTTCAGGATGAACTTATTACACAGCACATAACTTCACCCTGGATCAGTGAAACTAACAGAGAAGTAACCCACAGCATAATCCTGCCACCACCCTGCTTGACTGTTTGGGCTCGGTGGTTAACAGAAGGGATTTGGGTTCTAGTTCCTAGTAGGGTTGAGCTTCTATGATTTCTGGCTCACACCTGAATTTTCCGATTTTTTTGGCCCATATGCGACTTCTATCTGATCTTTTCATGGCAGTCTGAACAACACAGATCTGATTTTTTCCAATCCGACCCAGGCCACTTGGCCACGTGGTCCCGAATCCGATACAAATCTGATTTTTTCAAATGCGAACTGTCTGAACGGCCAGGTTATATTCATCCGACCGGAACGTCATTAATAGTCAACAAAGGTCACCATTCTTGTTCTTGTTATGAAGAAACAGCAAGAAAAACAACAACCATTCATAGCAGTTGGATGTTGTAGTACATCGGGTAAAAGTGAAAATTAAAATTGTATTTCACCTTTCTGTTTCCTAATCCTCTACGGAAGGGTGCGTCATTGGATTGCCAACTTGAAGAAGGATTTGACGTCAAGCTTCAGGCCAGACAAAAAAAACACATAATATGTAGCCAAAATTTGGAAGAAGAATGTTTTCAAGATGACTTATATTATATATTTTAAAAACAAAGTGGCGCGTGTATGACGTCATCGATGCATGCCCACTGGAGTCATAACAGGAAGCCTGGGCTACAGGCGGCTACGCTCTACCCCTTCTATCCGTTCGGCTAGCTAATCTGAATCGTTCAATTCCATTTGGAGAGCGAGATCATCTGTGCTATTAGCACTAGACATCTTCCAGGCATGTGAGTAAAACTAGCAGCAGTTCACCGGACAGGATGAATGAACGGTAGCCGGCGCATTGATATGGTCAGTTTGATGCAGAGTCTGTGACATGATTTAGTTTTTTTCAACATTAAAGGAATAGTACACCCAAAACATGATTAGCCTTCATTTTCTACTCACCCCCATGCTGAACAACACTCCTGAGTACTTTTTTGATATCTCAAATGCATCTGGAGATCTGGGAGGCTTCTTGCTGTCTGCTGACATTCAAATAATGGAGGTCTATGGCGCCCGAGGCAGAAAGGTCCATAAAAGTCCACAAAAAACGTGTCAATATTCCTCCATACTGCTCGTCCAATGTATTCCAAGTGTCCTGAGTGGGTAGCGTCCATAATTTTCTCGAAACGAAGTCATTTAGAATGTTTTTAGAGCATAAACAGTAGTGTATAGGATTTCCTGAAAGCGCGCACATGCGCGCTCACGACGCTACGGAAGCCGGCAGACCAAACCAGCGCATTCAGCTCGGCAAAGAACTCATGCTCTTCCTCAACACTGAAGTCCTCAGACATTTTTCTTTCGTTGTTTCTTTCTTTGCACAGGTAAACAGCACATTTCTTCTTCTACGCTTGCATTATTGGAAGAGCAGACGCTGAATGCGCACTTTCATCTGGTTTGGTCTGCCGGCTTCCGTAGCGTCATGAACGCGCAGGTGCGCGCTTTCAGGAAATCCTATACACTACTGTTTATGCTCTAAAAACATTCTAAATGACTTCGTTTCGAGTAAATTCTGGATGCTACCCACTCAGGACACTTGGAATACATTGGACGAGCAGTATGGAGGAATATTGACACGTTTTTTGTGGACTTTTATGGACCTTTCTGCCTCGGGCGCCATAGACCTCCATTATTTGAATGTCAGCAGACAGCAAGAAGCCTCCCAGATCTCCAGATGCATTTGAGATATCAAAAAAGTACTCCAGAGTGTTGTTCAGCATGGGGGTGAGTAGAAAATGAAGGCTAATCATGTTTTGGGTGTACTATTCCTTTAAGCTCTCTGGCGGTGGGGAAGAAGCTGTTTTGGAACCTGCTGGACCTGCATTGAATGCTGCACAGCCTCTTCCCAGAGGGCAGCAGAGAGAACAGTTTTTTCACTTTTACCCGTCCGGTCAGGTAGATAATTTTAGTGCAACCCAAATTAAAATATATTCTAATTCTGACAATTATAGAAGTCAAAGCTTGATATAAAACATTTACCCTGTTATCTTACTGATATTGTTGAAGATTACCCATAAATGGATAATCCAGGTCCAGGAAATTAAAAACATTCTTGTTCCTTCATCCTGTTCACTTTAACCAGGAACTCATCTCTCTAAAGGATTTTTACTTTCTGTTCCTGGATTAATCCCACCCTAGAAAAACGTTAAAAACCAGATAAAAAGCCTTAAACTATATGACTTGCATGTTCATGCTTGGAAGAACAAACTTCTCACTGTGTGTTGGTTGCAATAGAAAATATTTATCTGCTTTTTTATTTTTTTTAATGTTTCAGCGGAAAATGAGAGACTGAAGAAAGACATAATGAATCTGATAGAAGAGCGTGAAAGAACCACAAAGGTAACCGACCTTAAAGCGGATAAATTTTCACGTTTTAATATTCAGGACCGTTACATTCACCAGGTTTTCTAACTGAACAGAACTGATTCCAGCTTCCTCTTGTTTCAGCTGCTCAGGGTGTTTTTTTTTTCTGTTCTGTAATCAGGCAGGAAAGGCTGAGACTGAGCAGCTGCTCAGTAAGATGAGAGCAAACGAGGACAGACACCAGAGGGCGCTGGAGGCCATCAAGTGTCAGCGTAACCGAGAGGTGGAAGAGGCGCACAGGGACGCTCTGAGGAAGAGTAAGGATTCTGATTTCATTTGCTCTGATGATGCTTCCTCTAAACCTTAAACCAACCTCACTCATCTGCTCCTAAATGCTGCAGGACGGAAACCACTACTTCAGTTATTAGTTACACACATATTTCTATACTTTATTAGCAAGGTCAGAGGTGGAGCGTCCATCTTTTTCCTTTCAAGTCTGCACTGAGGAGAGTTAATGTTGAGTTAATGTTTTTAACACATCAACTGACTTTACAATTATTTAATGCTTTGGGAAAGTATTTATATCCCTTTGAAAATTTTTATATATTGGTAGATGCAAAGGTGGGCAGAGTTCATAAAAATCTTATTCAGGTAAGCTGGCAGTACTACTTCTTTTTTTAATTTTTTTTCTTTTTTTACTAAAGTAAAACGAGCAGCAATCGAAGAAAGGACTCAAAGGGTTAAAAAGTATTTGGTAAAAAGGCGACTAAAGTATGGGGCGTTTATTGGATTGTGACGTCTGAGTTAATGTTTGAAACTGATGTCATCACAAAGACATTTCTGGTAGAATTTATATTTTTAAAGGAAAAGTCCAGTCATATTCAGAATTCAAACTCCTAAAAGTACTTTAAATATGAAAATTATTACATACTGTTATATTGTGTTTTCATTTAAATGTGCTTTACTGGAGGCATCCATGTTTGTCAAAGAACACTACTGCCACCTACGGGTTGGTGATGTCACGGTGCGGTATCGGCTGTTGATCAAGTCCCAGTGCTGTATCTGGTGTCAGGATCCCAGTTTTTGTGTTCGTCTGTTTGTCTTGTCTTTTGTGTTTCTCCCTTCCACCACCAGAAGGCGCCTGGCTCCGGTTCGCCTCCTCACACACCTGCAAGCTGTTGCCTCATCACCTGACTGCTCTTAAGCTGCTGGTTGCCACCACTTCGAGGCCAGAGTGTTTGCCAGTTTGGGGAATCTTTCCTGCAAACTGGACCTTTTCGGACCGCCTTCTCCCAAGTGGGATCAACTGAGTCTTAACACTGAGCGACGGATTCCAAACAAGAGGTTTGGATCCAGCCACCTTTGAGCAAGCTGAGATCACTCTCTGAGTAAGGAAGTCATCTTCACCATGACCCTTTCAAGTACCACAGGAAAACTGAGTTGCAACCAGCGGCTGCATCATTCCACTCCGTCCGAATTCTGGGTAAACCCTGTTCCGCCCTCCACCGAATCAACAAACCCTGGAAGACCAACACACAGACTGGAGTGAGTGGCAACAAATCCTCTCCTTCAAGATAAACAACTCCAATTCCCCACTGAGCCTGAATCTAACAGTCTGTCTTCCCCTCGTCTTTCAGTTTTCCGGCCGAGCAGAGTTCGGAGGAACTCTGCACCGAACTCTAAATACCTTTCAATAAAACTCGTTTAAACTTTTACTCTCTGTCTCTCTGTTTGGCTTCACTGCATGTGGGTCTGAACCTTAGATAAAATCTGGTGCAATTAGAAAATGCTTTTCCTTTTTTTTTTTTTTTTGAAGAACTTTATATTTTATTTTAGGAATGTGGACCGAGCTGTCCAACCTCACTCAGGTTTAGTTGCTACTGGGAAGATTTTCTGCTACTGAATTAGAATTTAAACACTTGCACAGAACAGGAAACATATTTAAAAAAATAATCATTTAAATGTTTAAGCTAATTCATTTCATATTATTTATTAATATTTATCTATTCCTCTTTTAGTGATCAATTTTTTATTGTTTTTCACATTTTGGACATTAGAGGAGAAACAAGTGCGCCAGCCACAAGTAGTCAAAATGTTGTAAAGTGTATACAAACTTGTGTCTTTAATAATAGAAGACCCATCCTCTCCACCCATGTCTACACTCCCCAGCCCCTGCCCTCATTTCCACCCTCCCCACCCAGCGATGTCAAGGTGTTAAAGAAATAGCAACAATAATAATAAAAAATGATAATAAGAAATGAAAAAAAAAAGTGGAAATAAAGTAAATAAAAATAAATAAAATAACCCCCTTCCCCTACCATCCAGGAATCACATCCACTGAATAGACGAGCAACAATAATACATCACAAAGGAAATAAAACAACGTTCACAGGAATAAAATGTCATATATATTCATATATGAGTACATGTACAAAGTCAATAGGCCAAACAAACAAAATTAAAAGTAAATATGAATGAGTTTGGGGCATGAACATGCAATTTAAACAAGAGAGAGAAAAAAAATGAAATGAAATAAAAAAAAATAATGGGCATAAGTGCATATATAAATATTTACCACAATTCTGAGAGTTTCTTTAATAATTTAAACCAGCAATTAATGTTTGATGATTTAGAACCATGTGATCGAGCTGAGGAGAGCTCCACCTGATAGGAGGAAAGCCGTTCCCTCACCGACAGTGCATGTGGTGGTTTCCATCGGCAAGCTATCGCTCTCTTTTTGATTTCTAATTGTATGAATTAAATATTTGATCTGAAGTGGCTGCTTTTCTAAAATCACACCAAAATTCATAGGTTTTCAGTGACTCTTTGTCAGAACTTTGAAGACACTAAAGCTAATGGTGAGGAGTGCTGGGAAGGTGTGGCGATGAGTGAGAGATGAGTTTTTAGGAGGCTTCTTGATTTTTTTGCAGTGGAAACTAAAGACGCTGAGATGAGGAGGCTGCTGGAGGAGAAAGATCTGGACCTGGAAGAGATGAAGAAGAGGCTGAAGGACCAGGAGAGGGAGAGGCACAGCGAGCTGCTCAAGCTACAGATGGAGGTTTGTAGAAAATTGGTCTTTAAAATGTGATCCCTCACTATTGGTGCTGTTTTTGATTTCATTTAGATTTCAGACAGTGTCTCACATCCATATAGATTTTCTATATTTTTATTTTTGTTTTCCTGATGATAGGCTAAAGTTTTGTTTGGTTTTCTTAGAACTTTGACAGCTCAAACTGCTCACAGGGAGTGTTGGCCTAGTGGTTAGAGCAGTGAGCTTGTGCTCTGACGAGGTTCCTGGTTCAATCCAAACGGCCTGCACTCTGGGTCTCTCCAGGCGCTATACAATGACAGCCCACAGCTCCCCAATGGGGTTGAGTTACATGCAGAGATTTCTACATTGTGACATTAATAAATTTCTATTTTGATTTCTTTGTTCAACTGTGCTCCTCTTAATGCAAACTGGATTTCATTCTCAGAATCTCTGAGATGTAAAATTTCCAATACTTCTGATCATTTTAGACTTTTCTGGGGTTTTTTTCCCCCCCAAGAGATTACAGGAGATCAACAAAACACAGGAGGCCCAAACTGATGCCTCACCCCCATTTGTAGATCTGTAAGGAGAAATCAGGTGGTTGGTTAACATTTTCTGCAGGTTTATCCTTTCTAGTTGGAGGTAAGACTCCATTTTATGGTGAAGAGATGAAGGCCTGATCCAAGAATGAGAGCTGATGCTGCTGCCCTTTTTACCAATCCCTGAATCCATCCAGTCACTCATCCATCCATCCATCCATCAAATCATTCATCCATCCATCCATCAAATCATTCATCCATCCATCCATCAAATCATTCATCCATCCATCCATCCATCAAATCATTCATCCATCCATCCATCCATCCATCCATCTAGTCATCCATCAAATCATCCATCAAATCATTCATCCATCCATCCATCCATCCATCTAGTCATCCATCAAATCATCCATCCATCCATCCATCCATCTATCCAGTCATCCATCAAATCATCCATCCAGTCATCCATCCATTCATCCATCCATCTAATCATCCATCCAGTCATCCATCGAATCATCCACCCATCCAATCATCCATCCATTCATCCATCCATCTATCCATCTAATCATCCATCCATCCATCCAGTCATCCATCAAATCATCCATCCATCTAATCATCCATCCATCCATCCAGTTCTCCAGCAGGTTGTTTCTCTGTTTGACATATTTCTACTTTCTTTCTGTTTCTGCTTGTTGTTTCTAACAGTTTGGTGCAAAGTTAGCTCGAGTTCAGAGTTCATCTCAGAGGAGCCAGCAGCAGCTTAATCGAGGCAACCTTCTTCCACAGAGTGTCTATAAAAGGGTGAGTGAATCAGTTTGAAACCACGCAGCTAAATGTTACACATAGTTATGCAGTAGAACTAAAGTGAGAACATTCGTTAGAAAAAGTGGGACTTTTCAGAGGTACGTTCTGTGAGATTAACCCAGAATCTGCTTGTGTTCGTGTTTCATCAGAAGCTGCAGTTTTTCCAGGAGGAGAAGAATAAAGAGATTTCAGCTCTACGTCAGAGAATCAAGGAGCTGGAAGAGAGCCAACATGCCGTCAGCAGCAACAGCCATGTGAAGAGGAGAAGGTTTTAGGCTGATGGGAATACCTCCAGACATGTTCAGGAATGTTCAGATTTCTCCTTTAGTTCTGTTAAATAGTAAAAGTTTGAGTTGATCCCGTGAGCTCCGGAGCTGCGTGATCCTGGCGTTGGTCGCCTGTCTTACCCGCTCTGCTCGCAGGTGACCGCCTCCCTCTCTCAGGGAGCACATTTCAACACACGCTACATGGCCGTATGAAGCTGTAATCCCATTATAGTCCTGCAGAGAAGGACCAGGGAGGGAGCTGAATGAATCCAACAGCCGCAGCTATAATCCTCTTCATGTTCCCATTCAGAGAAATAAACTCCTCCATTCCATAAGTTCAGCTTTAATGTCTCTGAGTTTGATGTTTATAAAATAGTACATCCTATCTGTCTGGAAACGAGAGCCCAACAACCCAACCTCTTACTGAGAATCCTTCCTTGTTCTGGAGGAATCTTGAGCTTGATGCTGCCATCAACGTGTTTCCTTGGAAAGAAGGTGTCGCCATCTTTTGTTTTGTTTGTTTTTTTGGCTTGTTACTTTGCTAAGTTTTCAAACTGAAGGAGTCGTCTCTCAGAAATCAGACATTTTCCTCATTAAAACTTGTTTGTTGCTGTTTTGCTTCAGGTAAAAACTACAAAGTAAAACCTGGAGTGTCAAAGTAACTTTTTTTTAAGCAACCATTTTTGTTTTTAGTCTAGGTTCTTTGTTCAGACCAGAAACGCTAATCCTGGAAAGGCGCTAGCATTAGCCGGCCTTGCTATCGCTGCTTGCATCTCCTAGCCTCATGAGACCATCCTGATCTCGCGAGCTTTCAAGGTTTCACTCGCTAATCAGTCTGGAGACTCTCCGTTGAAGAAAATTTGGAGCCGTTCACCAAACGAACGTCCAATCAGCGTTGGCTTTGAGGCGGGTTGAGGTGTGACGCAACGAGAAGCGCGACAGTTCAGTCTAAACTAGAAACATTGATGTTAAGAGTTCCCTCCACAGCATGATAACCAGGTTGAAGTTTGAGCTTTGACTAGACCGTTACCGCCCTGTTTTCATGCAATTTGGCCCAAGCTTAGGCTGTCAGACAGATTTTCCCATTTGACTTTAGAAGTCCTGTCTGAAAAACAGGCGTCACCCTTCCAGTCAGTATGAGGAGTTCGGATCTAATGTATCTACTTCTATCTACTGATGTTTTAGTAGTTGTTTGTGTTTTTTCAGTTTTAAACTTACATTTTACATTGAAGCCTTTCTCCTGCCCTTCTAAACTTGCTGCTATGGTCATTGAACCATTTTCTAACCTTTTTTTTAGTCATTTCCATCAGCGTTGTGCGCAGGGGCTCTGTATCCCGGGGAAAAGTTGGGACGATCTATCAATGTCTTTAATGGGGCCACAAATTTCTGCCGACCCCCCTGGTTGTGCGCTCTGGCCTGGATGTCCATCCTGGGAACATTAACTCTTTATAAGGCAAGTTACCCTTTTTTGATCAGTTGCTTACCAGTTCCCCCCGACCCTCAGTGACATCTAGAAGCACAAGATATATATCCAGACATTCAGCAAAGATGCTGCTACATGGCTGCACATCTTATTTTGGCATTTGACCAATTAGATGAGCCCTTGAATGATAGATTACCCACTATAAATTAAGTTGGAAAAAGAAAAGTCAGGAAAAAAAAGGTAAAAAGCTAATTGAAAAGTTAAAACGTTGATAAGCCAAGTTAAAAACTATATTTAGGTTTATAAACTATAAAATGTAAGCTTACCGCCGTAAGCTCTGTTGCTTAGCAACCGTGAAAGTTGACACACAAAGCAGGAAAAGAATGAATCCCGAAGTTTTCCAAACTGTTTATTTTTTATTATAAAGTGAACAAAGATTACATTAACAAGAATCCAGAGTGGAATAAAGGTTCCAACCACCGGGAGCAGGAACAAATAAAATCAAATGTAATGATAGAAAATTTAGTCAGTTAAATAACCTGCTGCTGTCATTCTGCACATCTCTGATGTTGCTGCTATTTTCAAATATCCATTACTGTAAAAATGTCCATAGCTGCATATTGGTTATTTATTCTCCAGTTTTATATTGTTAAAACACATTACAGAATTTTATTTTTTATATCTTAACTCTTCCCTATTATGTTATTCTTAGACATTTTTCTAAGGTCCTCATTTGTGTGACCATTTTCAATAATCTTTCTGCTGCTGTAAATTTGCCCATTGTGGGAAAATAAAGGGATTTTCTATTCTATTCTATAAAAGGGGTAGAAAGATATAAGTAAATCTAAACAATTTATTTATAAAAAAATATATCTGCAAAATCTCTAATATTCAACAACAAAAAATAGTTAGTTAAGCATATTGTGCAAAACAGCAATAAAAAAATTAAACTCCTATCAGATTTATAGTCCCCACCCTGCAGATCTATTAGAATCTGTCCTTAAATTACAGCCAAACCCATTTACACAGTAACAGATAAAAACCTTTAGATAAATCAAACATTGCCGCCTCATATTTGACTCAATAACCATTAAAACAACTATTTTTCATTAATCTCAGATGGAACTATTAAATGACTTGTATTATATTAAACTGAACTTCCAATTTTCACCACTGTTCTGCGCCAAGTAACCTTTCCTCTGATCACGGTTTGCTTGGTCTTGCAATGAATCCTGGGATATCCAAGGATACCGAGGATACATCGGACCCGTCCTTCAAATCGGCAAAAAGAAGGACGCATTTTAAGGTCGCATAACGAGGACTCTTGGAATCCGACCAGACCTCGGCGCCGCGCTATGACGTCATCATCTTTCGAATCTGGCCTTCTAAGGACGCAGCCCAGGTTTTCGAACAGAACATATAATTCAGTTTATTTTTATAGCGCCAATTCACAACGCATCATCTCAAGGCACTTTACAGTTCAACCAGATCCTCCAGTCAAATTGATTCACAGTTTTTTTTATTTAAGGAAAACCAGTTTCTTTTACTCATGAATTTCTAATAGAAGCACTTTTGTTATTTTTCTATATATATTCGGTCTAGTTGGCGTTTGTTGTTATTACATTGACATAAATTTTTGCCATCAAAATATCCATATTTGTTGAATGTTACAAAGCTAATAAGGTCTTGTCCTGGATTCTAACAACACTATTGGCTTGAAATGTAGCCATATAAAGGGTTAAAGGTTTTCTTCATTGGATTAATCTTTCTCTTTGTTTAATGTACGTGAATCAGTTTGAAGCTGGAATAATAAACCTTCCCAGGTCAATGATCAGACACTGCTCCACCTCTGAGGTTGCTACTGATGATTTTCTGCTTTTGCTTTACGCAAACCGCCGTATGAAGGCTTCAAACGGCCAAAACTCTCATTTCTCTAGATGTTCTCATAGAAAGGATGATCAGTGGGATTAATCAGCAGCATCAAGGCTTTTTTCTTTTTATTATATCATCTGTGTTGAGTCTGTTTTTTTGTTTCTTCTTGACTTTGAGTTAAACTACTTAGGTTAATATATTTTTTACCCTTGAATCTTTATCCAGTCTGCAGGCATTTATAAAGGTGGTTCAGGTTGAGGCTGCTCCTCACAGGGAGTGCCCACCTGAATGAACATGCTGCTAATCTGTTTATCTCTGCTCTGCAGCCTCAGTCTAAACGGGACGTTCTTCTAATCCCTATGAGAACATCAGCTAATACCGTTGCATAACGTTTCATCTTCACCAAGCTTTAAAAGCTCAGCATTTTGGTAATCAAACCTCCATTTTCCCCCTAAACACCTGAGTTTTTATCTGCATGATCATCTGATATTTTCTGTTGATTCACATTAAAAACGTAAAACCTGTTTATTTTCTGGCTCTGTTAAAATGGAACGGGTCAGACTTAAATTACAGCAGGATTAGAGATCATGGACACCAACTTAACCTTTGTCCTTTCCTGGAGGAGATGAAGAGGTGTGTCCTGCGTCTGTGTCCCCCTTCTCCCTCCTCACCTGTCCATCGTTTACCGGTTCTCCTTCCAACGGTTCTCTGATTAAAGGAAAAGTCTCAGAGGCGGCGGTGGCGCTGCTCTGACCTCAGCATGTGAGAAAAGCTCGTTTTATTTCCAGGGTCCGTGTGGACCAGCGGTTTGGAAAGGACTCCATCCATGTTCTGAAGAAGAGGAATTTGGACAGCTGGTGAGAACATCCATGTTTCCATATGCTAAACTATCTGGGATGCTGCATGGGTACTTATACTACAATACTAGATCTGGGAGATATGGCTTAAAAATGTAATCTCAAATTTTTTATTACCAAATCCGAATAATGTTTCTCTTCTCACTTAAGTTTCAAAACAAAAACAATAAATGCTATTGTATATTTACTTCTTTCAAAAACTTAGATTTCAGTCCCCACCCCCACCCCCCGACCCCCACCCCCCTCTGGGGGATGATCTTCATTTAAAGGGAAACAAAATTCAAACATTTAGTTTGTAATATTTTTATTGTTTGTTGAGAAAATTGATTTTTTTTTTTACAAGCAGGTTTTAAATGTTTCCAGCTTTGCAATGTCACAAACAGAGGCGTAGCCATAAGTTTTTTATAAGGGTGGCCAGGCAATAAACAATGACTGAGGGGTGGCAGAAAGTGGATCGGCACCAGAACTTTAGGGTCGATCTACACTTTCCAACAGGAAAATTAACGAGCAAAAAAATCCATATTTTCTAAATAAAGACAAACTATACTTTCCTACAGCCTTTGTTAACAAATAGGCGCATATGTTTAAACACCCGTAATTTCTAGATAAAAGGTGTAGTGGATAAAACTCGTTCCGGGGGGGTAAATCTTTGCCATTGTCATAACTTACCTACTTTTATGAATAAAAATTCTGCATAAAATTGATATTTACAAGTGCTAATATCTACATAAATTGATTATTTGATAAGTTTTCATTAAAATTGTTATTTATTTATGATTTCACTGAAGACTCAAAGATGACTTTCAGAGACGCATAATTTTCTCTTTACCCCATATAACACAAAATCTAGTTCTGAAAAGAGCATGAACTCTGTATCATCTTTGATGTTAGTATATTGATGCATAATTCATCACAAGAAATTTAAATGTTTTGAATATTCCATTTGAGAGTATTACTGCTGCCACCATCTGTATTAGAGGGAAATAAATGGTAGGGATGGCCACAGGCTTGGCCAATGATTGGCTAAGGGTGGCCCCAGGTCCCCCCATCTAGCTCCGCCCCTGGTCACAAAGGGAGATAATTTATCAGTAATGAGGAGGCATAAACTGATGTCGCTCTGAGGCCAGAGGAGAGGATTGGTTAAACCCAAATTTAGATTTTTTTTAATTAAAAAATAAAGTATCCATTAAAAAAAACAAATGAAATAAATTGATGAAATCAATGGATCGCCCGACCTGATAAACCCCCATATGTTGAACTTGATTATTCAGAGATTCATGCTTCTAGCATCTTAAAAGCATAGATTTATGAATGTTTTAATGAGAAAAAAATAACCCATTTCTTTGCATGGATTGTTTCTTTTTTTTCCCCTGCAGAGTTTATTATTGTCTTTTTATTTATTTATTTTTACAGTGTCCTGTCTGGCAATGTGGCAATAAGAAAAATTGTCTTGATGCCAAAAAGAGCCCAACAGATTCTACTTTCACAAGTGTAACAGTACGGCAATTGCCATATTGCTCCACTTGTTTCATGCATATGAATTGCTTTATTATAATTATGCAGGGAGTTTTACGGTTTATATGGACACTGCAATGTAAATAGAACAGAAGAAGAAAAAGAGAAAAGAAAGAGGAGATAGAAAGACTTCTTTCCTGCAGAGTTTAAATGCTGAAAATGTTTTCTTTTCCTTCTGTTCAGCTCATCTGAGTCAGAACTTTTAGAGCTTCTGTATGTTTAAGGTCATCCTCCTTTGAACAGGGGTCGGCAGTCTGCGGGCCCCAGAGCCACTTGTAGCTCTTTGGGCCCTCCATTGTGGCTCCAACCATAAGAAATAATTAGATTTTCTTTAGGCAATAAGAAAGATTTCTCATCTGTGACAAAGGATTTTAAAGGACTCATTGTTTTACAGCTTTAGTTTTTATGTTCCTATAAACTTTCATATCTACGGCGGCTCCTTCAGCTTCTACAAAAATAAAGAGTTCTCTTTCCTTTTTAACGGTTAAATTATCAAAATGTTAAGTCTTAGTTTTTTTTTTTTTTTGCTTTAATAAAATCTATAGTGTCGTTTTTGGCAGATTTTACTTTGTAGGGGGAAAGCGGCTTTGAAATGAAAAGGTTGCAGACCTTTTTCTCTCCAATGTTCTTCTAATATTGTCCTTCATTCATTAGATGTTTCCCCCCATGTTTCAGCTTTGGTTGGGATCTTATTATTATGCCCTCATTATTCACGTTTTACTCCTATTGACCAGAATTCAAGCATTTTTTTCTCGCTTCTCTTCCATAAAGACCAGATCAAAGCATTAACTGATCAGAGGTTCGTCCTGTTTTATTTTTTGTTTTGAAATAAACTCAGATTTAAACATCTCCAGAACTTCTTCTGGCTTCAGCAAACCAGAACCGGAACAGCTGTAGTTATCCTGAGCAGAGGTGGGAAGAGTAACCAAATATCGTACTCAAGTCAGACTAATGATAATCCTATATAGTTTTACTCCAGTAAAATTTAAAGGAGCCCTCAAAGCAATTCCTCAGATAAGAGTACTGAGCAACTAATGAACATCTGATTAATATTTGAAAATAATGAGGTAAAAAATGTAAGATTCTTTACAGATAATTTAAATATTAAATACAAAAATATAATAAAAAAAATAATGCTTCAATATAAAATTAAAATAAATACTGCAAAAAATATTGGATCATCTGCTTTATACATGTATCTGAACTTTATTAACTTCCTCTTCTTCGTCTATAAGGTCAAATTTGTTGATAGATTTCTGCTCACAGAAGAATAAACTTTAGTATACATAAAGGTTAGCTGATGGATAAAAAGGTAAATGGAAAATAAAAAAGATTCACACTCATTTCTAATTCATCCTAAAAAGTTTTTTATAAGTTTGAGGAGACGACAAACCTTTTCAGCCTGCAGACATGGAAATGAGTGGGACATCATCATCAACAACAAAGCTTGGCTACAAACAGGAGGTCTCACTTCAACTGAAATTGTTTGCAACTCTGATATATTTTTGGCCAAATTAAATTTTTTTATTAAAATAAGTTCCTTAGGTAGAGAAGCTTAGGCAGAAATGTATTTAAGAGTATTGGGGGGTAAAAATCAATACGTTAATGCAACATCATGTTTCCTTTGGGGATTCATTTTGATTTAAATTGAAGTGAATCCTCCTAGCAGGGTTGTCGCAAATTTCAAGCTCGATATCAATTCCCAGAAAACTATTCGACACTCGAAACCGTTTTTCTTGATGCCTTTCATTATTTGACAGTTTGGATACCATGGCGATAAAACATGACCAATAATTAAAGGGATAGCAAAATAATCTTAATATGAAAAACTCAATTTTTTTTCATTCTCAACAGAATAAGATGCTAGTTAAATAAATGTGCTAATAAATGTTAATGACCCAAATATAACACGATTTAACAATATTTTAAGGTTGTCTGAAGTATTAATCTTTTAAAGTGCAAATTATCCAGTAATCTGAAGTAAGTAATAATAAAATTACCCTTATCGTTGGTATTGATACCATGCTAATTAGTAATGAATCTGGATACAGCGTTTGAGTATTGATGTTCTTTAGAGTATGGATATTACTTCCTAATAATGACTAAAGTAAAAAAAAAAAATGAAATAAAGTGCATTAAAACTACTCCCGAGAGTACTTTCATTCTGTCCAAAACCTTTAACTACAATAGCAAAGAAACCATGGAAACCAATTTCTTAGATGACCTGTAAGGTTGTTGTTTTTGATATGTTTTTAACGCTTTACATTTTATAGAACAAACCTCTGTTTGCAGAAACATGGATTGTTTGGTTTTAAATAAACGTACTAATTTAAAAGACATTTGAACACATTTGTTCTCAATACCATGACCTAGGTGTTTAGTTCTCTCATTTGTTTCCATGGAAAAGCTAACCGGCCCACAGCATCACAGTTACTCTGCTGTGCTCAAGATTAGGTTCTGCATGCATAATTTCTGCTTCCCAGCTCATATTAAGTCTCTGGTTAGTTCCAGTTAGTGTGTTTGGTTGATTTAAATCCATTTGCTCTCTATGCCTTACTTAAGTGTAAAATAATAAATAGCTAATGCATGTAATTATGCTGCATCAGATAGAGCATAATTTTTATTTAGTAAAGGCCTTCTCACCAGACTATGCTAAAAAAAAATCTCCTAGTTTGCATAAAACCATGATGCCAAGCTTGATATACTTGTTTTTGACCTTGTGGTTGGAGATGAATGTAGGATTTTTACTGTAACAGCACCATCTGGTGGATCATTTTTACCATTACAGTAATGAGTGCTCTAGGTTTGTTAGCTAAGTGACTTAAAATGTGTTCAATTGTTTGGCTGACCAGGCAGCTTTAAAAAGTCACTGTCCTCCTCTGGTTCTGAAATAAAATAATTCTTTCTTCACTAATTAAATGCCTCTGAGGCAAACAAAATGCTCTCTATGTTTTAAAAGGGGTAGCAGTAAAGGGGGGCACATTTTAATTTTTAGTGGGTCTTTTTTCATTATTCTGATCAGTAGCTTTTGGCTTTTCAGATTACAAAAGAGTTTCTCCTAAGCAGCCTGATGTCTCTATAAGACTGGGGCAGACCTCATGGGTTGGTGTCCAGTGTTTCTGGAGGTCAGTCAGACTTTCCGGCTGTTTAGGGGAGAACGCTGAGGGTTGTCATCAGTTTTTGTCTCTATCTGTGACCGAGGCTCACTGCTCCTGTTTCGGTTTGGTAGAGATGCCTGGAAGCCAGTACCAGCTGACGCGCCCCAGACTCAGCCTCTACAGCCTGACGGAGAGCTCAGACGGCAGCCATGAGGAGCAGGGGGGCGACGGCTCGACGCTCCTCACCCCCCTGCAGAAACTCACCGTGGCCATGTGCAAAGACGAGAAGACCATCAAGGAGCTGATCATCGGCCGCAGGGTGGGCTTCTACAAGGTCAGAGGGGAGATCGGCTACGGGACCTTCTCCAGGGTCAAACTGGCTTTCCACGCCCTGACTAGAGGTAGATGACACTCAGTAGCTTCATCAGCTCAGTTCTGTTGGTTAAAATCATCTCCTTGTTCACCTCCGTCCTGCGTCTTCGTGTCTCTCAGATAAAGTGGCTCTGAAGATCCTGGACCGGACCAGGCTGGACGCCCAGGCCCAGCGGCTGCTCTCCAGGGAGATCAGCAGCATGGAGCTCCTGCAGCACCCCAACGTGATCCGGCTGTACGAGGTGGTGGAGACGCCGAGTCGACTCTTCCTGGTGCTGGAGTACGCAGGAGGAGGAGATCTCCACAACCGGATCTGCAACGAGGGAAAACTGAGCGACAACGCCAGCAAAATCACCTTCGCTCAGATCCTCTCTGCCGTCAAATACATGGTGGGTGAATCCTGAGCCGCAGCAGAAAGATCACAAACACTGCGTCCCTCTACAACAGGCTGCTCTTAGAAGCTGCTGGTGCACCACCTATAGGGTTATCAGAGGAACCCCTCTGTGTGTCTTTATTGGTACAATTTTAGCTTCCAGAGAATACCAGTTAGCCGGTTAGCCGTTTCCATGGAACAACTAACCGGCCCACAGCATCACAGTTACTCTGCTGTGCTCAAGATGAGTTTCTGAATGCATTATTTCTGCTTCCCAGTTCAGATTTAGTCTCCTTTAATAAAGTCCAATCAGCAAGGAACGATCAATGGATCATTATCTATACCTAAAACTAATACGTTTGCGGTGATTTAATGAATTTAGCCTTAATCAGTAAAATAATAAAAGCAATAATTTGGGAGCGGCCATTTTTGGTCAATATAGTAACCCCTCCCTCCTGCCATCTTCTGTCTGTGACGTCACGGTGCGGTAAGCCTAGCGCCATTCTCCCCGCTTTACAAGCTAAATCAATGGGAACTACTAGACACATCTGCAATCAACAACAATTATTGAAGATTTCCAGAGGACTTCACCATTGAAATTCACCAGAGCTATAGTGAAACTGACAATGAAAAGAGAAAAAAATGTAGTTATTCCACCTTTCTGATTCCTGATCCTCCACAGACGGGTTGGTCGTTGGATCGCCAACTTGAAGAGGGAGGATTTGCCATCGAACTTCTGGCCAGATAATAGCGCGTTGTGACAAACACCAGATACAGCACTGGGACTTGATCAACAGCCGATACCGCACCGTGACGTCACAAACCAGTAGGTGGCAGTAGTGTTCTTTGACAAACATGGATGCCTCCAATAAAGCACATTCACATGAAATTTACTCTTAATTAAAAACACTATCATTTATTGAACAGTATGTAATTATTTCATATTTAAAGGACTTTCAGAAGTTTGAATATGACTGGACTTTTCCTTTAAAGTGTTTGGTAGATGAGGAAGATTTGCACATTTAACAGCTAAACATGTTGATCTCTGAGCAGACATGGGGTTGGTATGAAACAGCTCTATTTCTAGAAGACCTAAAATCAGATTTTCAACTAGAACATTTTAGAAATTGACTTATACTCTCAAGAAACGACAACCAATCGTAAATAGTACTTAAAATATATACAGTAAGCTTCTACATGGATGGAGGAGCTCTGAGAAATGTGTTCACTGCTTTTGTTGTCTTTAAAATGACAACAACAACAAAAACAGCCCTAAATCTTATTTATTATTTATATAGAATAACAAAACCAGCAGATACAGCATGATGTGAAACTTCCAGAGTTTGAAATCCATGTTTTTTTTCATACCGGGATATTATAAAGCCACTTGGCTTTCCCTCAGATACACAGAACCTGTGTCCTTCCTACCCAGTCCTAAAAGTTCTGACCATCTCTGTTCTGCTCTGCAGCACAACATGAACATCATCCACCGCGACCTGAAGGCGGAGAACGTTCTGTTCACCACCAACGGCTGCGTGAAGGTGGCCGACTTCGGGTTCAGCACCCGGGTGTCCGGTCGCAGCGTCGCTCTGGACACGTTCTGCGGCTCGCCCCCCTACGCCGCTCCGGAGCTCTTCAGGGACAAGTGCTACCTGGGGCCCCCAGTGGACGTGTGGGCCATGGGGGTCCTGCTCTTCTTCATGGTGACCGGCACCATGCCGTTCAGGGCGGAGACTATGGGCAAGCTGCGGCGCTGCATCATCGAAGCCAACTACACCATCCCCCCCTGGGTGCCCGGCCCCTGCCAGAGGCTCATCAGGGGCATCCTGAAGCCGGCCCCCTCGGAGCGCTACGCCGTGGACCAAATGCTGGGCTGCGACTGGCTGCTGCCGGTGGAGTTCCCCTGGACTCTGGTTCCCTTTGAGCCGCCGAGCCCCCTGCAGAGCCTGCTAGAGTCGGAGCGCGTGACCCTGGAGGAGGAGAAGGTGGAGGAGGAGGTGAGGAGCTCCTTGGAGGAGCTGGGCTTCACTGTGGAGCACCTCCAGAACAACCAGCTGACAGAGAGCCGCAGCCCCGTCACGGGAGTCTACCGCATCCTGCTGCACCGAGCCCAGAGGAGGTGGGGCTGCGACTCGCTGCCGGTGGTGCGGGGGATGGTGAGGGACCCCAAGAGGGAGGGGCTCCGGGCCTACAGGGGCCTCCGTCACACCTCCAAGTTCTGCGTGCTCTCGTAGCGCGCCGATAACTGCGGGCACTTTAACCTTCCAGCGTCGATCCGCTGATGGAAACTTTTCTGTGGTGATTTATGTGGAAGTGCCTGAAAAAAGAACAATAAAACGAAAGTGGAGCTTAAAATTTCAAAGCGATTTTTTGTTTTGTTTGATTCCCCTTTAACCTTTTCCCCTTTTATCCAGTTAAAACAACATAAAATAAACCGAAAGTAGTAAAAAAATAACTTAAATGAAGACGTGCATGATTTGAAATCAACTTTCAGAGAAGAGAATGGAAGCATGCATTTTAATTTAGACCCTTTAACTATAATAAACAAAATCCAACAAACAGACCTCAGACGTCAGCTAATTGGTAAATAGTAGTGATGGGTTATCGACTCATTGCCAAACTATTGATGCTGTCTCACAGAATACTGACACCTGCTGGACATTTACAGGGTTCCTTAAAAAGTCTTAAAAGGCATTGAATTCTTCAAAATAAAACTAAGGCCTTAATTGGTATTAAAATGTCTTAAATCAGTCTTTCGTAGGTCTTAATTTTTAAAACATCATAAATAGGATTATTTTTATAACAATTTATTTTTGTAATCTAAATAAAACGTTACAATTGACAATTTTTTTTAATTTTATTTAAAAAGAAATAACGGCTCGCCATTATTGGTTCCGTCCCGATAGCGGAACCAATAAAGCGTTGTTGCTGCCGGGACATTTAAGAGATGCGCCTTTAACTTTTTGTCTGGGAAATATGAGCAAGTGTAAATGTAACCAAAATTGTCTCCAGCCAAGAGTTTCCTCCATGGCTAAAACCAGGGAACATACATGAGGCTCAGTGGATTTAGTGCAAGAAGTCATTCAAGCTCAGAACGATGGGAATTAAGGCGGTGGAGTCGCACATGCGAAGCACGAAACACAAAGCGTCAAAATGGAGTTACAGAGAAACAGCCGGTATTTCTCAGTTTAGTTCCACCCTTGTCTCTGCAACGCCTCCACTTATCACCAAATCAAACATACTAAGAAAACCATACAAAGAAAAATAGCTGCAAAAAAGACTTAGCACTGGTTATGTTGGGGCTTTAAAACTGATTTGTTTAGTTCCCTGCTAAAACAAAGTTTGTGAATTCAGTTAAATAATTGTTCAAATATATCTGTCATTTGTGTGTTTTTAGCTTTCTTCCTGTATGGGAAGCTTTTCAAAATTTGAAACATTAGTGCCAACATATTGTCATTATCAGTTCGTATGAAATCGTATGAAAAGTTATGCACAGTGTTTCGTACGTTTTTTACGTTTTTCCTCGAAAAAACATATCGGTGCGCAGCCAGACAGACGAAAAAAGCAGATCGGTGGACGGACGTAAAACTGGGACGGACAGTGCAATAATTACTTTATTATGTCTCTCACTAGGTTGCTTGCTGTTTTGTATGTTAGGGTTAGGGTTAATTGTATGTTAAATTGAATGCGCAATATACAACGAAATATGACGAAAAAAACGTCAAAAACGTACGAAATACTGCATAACTTTTCGTACGATTTCATACGAACTAATAATAAGAATACACTGTTAGTGCAGTGGTTTATGTTAAATTAAACCTTTGGGTTAAGTTGTCGCAAGCAGGTTTTTCTTGTGTATTTGGTCTTAAATTTTTATTTCAAGTGGCATTAAAAAGTCTTAAAACATCTTGAATTTAACTCTCCTTATGCTGTAGGAACCCTGATTTAAAGCCACTACAGGCAGCTTATTGGACAGACTAAACTGAATTGATTTGATTATCTAATATAATGATATAATTTAGGGGGGGGGTGTATTAAGGTGGACTCTCCTTTCTATGAACAATGAACTAGAATAATAGAATAAATCTACATGGTGGAAATTGGAGCTATTGCCTGAGAGGACAGCAAACACAAACGGAAGAACATTGGGAGAAACTGCCTCTATTGGAAACTAAAGAGAGACACTAAACTAGGGAACAGGGTTTCTACGGGTCATCAAAAATCATTAAAAGTCATTCAATGTAATTTTTTTTATTAAGGCCATAAATTGGCATTAAAATTCATTAAATGTGATTATCATGCCATTTAAAATGCTTTATTAAAAAAAAAAATTATAAAAACAATTTGGTCAAATATATTAGATATAACTGGTATGGCGTGTTTGTGTGAATCTGCTTCCAGTTAATCCTAAAGCCGTATGTTTGGAAAAGAAGCTTCAGGTGGAGGAAAAGCTCAAGAAAAGGAAAATGCAAATTTCAGCAAAAGTGGCTGGAAAACGAGGAATTCGGGACATGGCTGCAGCCTGTTGACAGTAAAGATGAAGGATTTTACTGTGTTTTATATATATATATATATATATATATATATATATATATGAGAGTCATAGGCAGAGATGGCAAAAGTACTCACTTTCCATACTTGAGTAAAAGTACAGATACTTGTGTTAAAAAATACTCTGGTAAAAGTGGAAGTACTGATTAAACTTCTTTACTCAAGTAAAAGTAACAAAGTACAGGCTTGTAAATTTACTTAAAGTATAAAAGTAAAAGTAGAAACCACTTTTTTCATGCCGTTGCCTACATTTTAAATGGATGTCTGCCAATAGGACTAGATCTCCGTTGTGTTCATTTTCAATCATCTCGTCGTCCATGCTACTATGCTAACGCCACCGCCACCAAGCTGCAATGATTTGCCGCGAATGAATACCGCCGAATCTGTTGATTCATCTTGTAGTGGTGCGTCAAATGCAACGTAGATTCCCATCCAATTAGATTGGATTTGGTATTGATGACGTGAAAAATAATAACGGTAACTCCATTGAAATGATTCAAAACTAAAGTAACGAGCCAATTTTTTTAAAATGTAAGGAGTAGAAAGTACAGATATTTGTGTAAAAATGTAAGGAGTACAGTGGGGGGTGCTGCAGGGGCTGCAGCCTCCCTCGTCATAGCATCAGCCCCCCATGGTGGGGGGCTGTGGAATAACATAATATTTTACTTAAAAACATGAAATTATTTACGTATTTATTTTTTAAAAGACTGTTTGATATGGGATTAAAATGATGGGCTGTGTATAAGATATAAACTAATGATTCATTATTTTAATATTTCATAAAAAACTAGGCTACTCCCCCGGAAGCTTCCGCCACCTCACATTCGTTTAGCCATGGCTAGCAATAGGCAGCAGAAACGTATTTCTGACTATTTCGAGGTAAGAAATGGTTTTAATTCCCCTATACTGCCGCATTTAGCGTTATTTATGTGCCTATTCGTCTTAGTCCTGTGGCTGAAGAAGTCTACGCTAGAATAAGGCTGCATATCACTAAATATGTCTGTATTAAGCTATTTAGTAATAAAATATGAAATTAGTAATTTTTTTTTTTTTTTTGTGTTTTTTGTTTCAGATATGAAATCATTCCCCATATCCATAGTCAAATGGACTTTCAAGACGTTCAATGCTCAGTTTAGGCTATATTTAGGCCATGTTTTATTCAAGTATTCCTGATCCTGTTGATTGGGAGCTGTTGTTTGTTTTGAATGATTAAAAGAGAAGAAATAAATTTTAAAATGTTCATGCTTTGTTCTGATGCATTTTAAATGGCAGTTTTTGGCGACAAATGTAGGCCTACATTATTATGTTAAAAACGTCAGCCACAGCCCTCAACATAATGACGTCACGTGTTTTCCAACCCAGCCATCAGCCCCCCTCGCTTGAAACAGCTTCCAGCGCGCCTGAAGGAGTAGAAGTAAAAAGTCGCCATAAAAATAAGTAGTTAAGTAAAGTAAAAATATCAGAAAAATCTACTTGAGTACAGTAACGAAGTATTTGTACTTCGTTACTTCCCAGGTACTTGTTGAATGCATTCAAATGATTTCTAAGAACATTAAAAAGCATTAAATTAGACTTTCTCATTCCTGTATAAACCCTGGAGACAGAAACTTGAAAAAGTGATCGAACAAAAGGACTAAGAGAAGAACAGCTCCCAGGATAAAGTTGTTTTTCACACTGTTGTATAAAATGTTGAATGTGATTTCATTCCATACACTCCCTATGTAAACAGAGGGGGAAAGGAAAATCATAAAATATAGATATAGATGTATCTTAGTACGACTTTTATACTCTGTTGTAACGTCAAACTTTCAGGAAAAAAACCCCAAAAGGTTTCATTTCTGTTTCATTTTGCCCTTTAATTGATCCAGAACATAAAACTAGTTTTATAACCTCTGGTTCTCCTCCTGTTGATCCAGCCTGGCCTCTTTTATTTGATGAACGTAAAACCGGTTTGCTTTAAGGGCCTGAGGCGCCTCAGAGCAGGTGCTTCCTGCAGCCCCCCCTCCCTCCCAAACACATCCAATCCACCATTGTCTCTGTTTACCAAAACTTTCACCAAGTGTCTGTGAATAAATAAGAGCAGCTGGCAGGACTGACCCCTCCCTTCCCCTGATGCTGCTTTCCTTTTACAATAACCAGACCCCCCCACCGGCCTCTCTGACTCCTCCCAGCTCGGCACCGCCTCATGCTCTGCCCTGGATGACCCCCGGACGCACCAAGCGGCAGATGGTGCGGCGTGGCCCCCCGAGACATCTGTGTCCCTAACAATGGGCTCTCTGTGCGGCCCCCGCTGGAGCTGCGCCTTTGTCGGGAGCCTCATTCACATGCAGATGGCGGAGGAGGAGACGCAGCAGATGACGGGATTCATGCAAATTTACTGCCTTCAACTTTTGGCCACTCATAAAGCTTCTTTATATCACAGAAACACAACAGAAATCCAAACTCCAGAAATGAATCTTTAAGGGTTTTATTGAGTATTTTTCATTTAAAGTTTACAGAACTTTTAATTCTAACAATCATTGAACACATCAGGACATTTTTTACAGGATGTTTGAGCAGAATCCTCCAATAATCTATGGAGTTAGTCATTTCCCTAAAGTGAAACAGCTTATCTGCAGAGAACATATTTAGATATAAAAATAGTTTAAAAAGAAAAACATTTTAAAAGTGAAATCTAAGTCAAAATAGCTGGTGATGAAAACTCACTCAGTAATTTTTTTTTTTTAGATATAAAATTAAGCTCAACTGTTATCAATAATTTTACAATTAAAATCTGAATTAGTAAAAAAATAATTTTTGTTTTTTTTTCTTCTATCTTCATCCAGAATTTTTTTTTCATATAATTTTATCAATAATTTAATGGAGTCGTTTTCTAAAGTGAAACCTTTAGATAAAAGACTTTAAAGAAAATATTAAAGAGTAATTTTTGTCATTGTTAAATTTCTAAAGTGAAACCTTTAGAGAATTAAGACAATTCTGGAAAGTGGGAAACATTTCCGCTGACTGCAACTGCTGTCATGTTGCTCAGCTGAAGAGGAACATCTGTGAAAAGTCTCTTTCCAAGATGGCCTCTCCTTCCTCAGCACCGCTTCTTCTCCTGCTGCGCGTGCTTCTACGTGGCGACATTTGCTCTGTGGGACCACAGGATGCAGAACTCGCTTCTCCTTCCTCTCCAAACCTCATCCGCACAAAGAATGAGGGTCGACGTTGTGTCGCCCCCTGCCGCACGCCCGACCTCGTTCACAGAAAGAATGAGAGTCATCTTGGCGTGGACCGGTGCAGGGGGCCGACGGTGACGCGGCGCGGTGGCCCCCCTCGGTTCGGGGGGCCGGCGCCGTGCAGCCTGGATGGGGAATCCTCCTCAGGAGCATCCAGGGATGAGCCAGAAACAAGATCATCCTGGTCATCAGGATGAGTATTTCCAGGTAGGAATCGAGCAGGTGAGGAGCAGAGTCCGGCTCAGCGCTCTGGGAGGCTGATCTCAGGGACCCAGTCGTTCAGGCGCCGGCTCTCCTCACAGAACAGGTGCAGCTTCTCCAGAGTGGGGTCCTCCCAAGACCCATCATCTGGGTTCTGTTCAAAGAAAAGAACAAGTTTAGAACATAGTTCTGCAATAAAATCACAACAAATGCGTTTTCAGATTCCCATTTCATCCAAAAATATATATATTTGTGAGGTGAAGCTTATTTTCTCCTTTTTATGCATGTTGGACCTTTGGGTCTCAGCCCCCCTGACCCCCTTCTTGGTGTCGCCCCTGCTCCTAGACGTACCGTAATGAGGACGCAGTGCGCGTCTTCCAGCTGCTCGGCCTTGTCTCCGACTATGTCGGCCAGACGCTGCATGTCGCTGACTCTGACGATGCTGATGTCGTTGTCGAAGCAGAAGGACTGGATGAGGGTGAAGTGGATCTGCAGAGCGATGTCCCACTCAAACTGCTCGTCCGTGGCCAGGACGCAGAAGGACACGCTGTCCGGGTCTCTGCAGGAGGGAAAACAAACAAATCTGATCAGAAACTGTCTGCAGACACGCAGAAATGTCGCAGCCATCACTACATCTCCATACTTACAGGTTCATAACTTTGGCGCACTCGTAAACTCCCACGGTGAGAGAGTCGTTGTCTTTGGCTGAAACCAGGACCTCTTCCAGGGCTGCGCCCGCGCACTGCGCGCGCTCGGCGGGTTTCCGGATCAGAACTTCCTCAAAAGTCATGATGCGAGCGGTGGAGATATTCCAGCAGATTCAGGAGAAGGTTTGGAGCGTAGTGTCCACGGAGGCGCACCGCGGCTCTATTTATAGGCCTGAGCTCGCGTGGAGCAGTGAAAGCGCTGCGCTCTGATTGGCTGAGGCTGAATGGTGCATTGGTATGATAATGCTATTGTCACACTTTGGCTCGTGGCAGATTGATGGGGACACGCACGCTCCCCTTCTGCACGCCAACAATCGCAAAAACAAGAGATTTCTGCAGAAAGCAAACTGAGCAAAGTTTTAGTTTAGTAAGAGAGAAACAAGCTTCACTTCAGCACTTCATGCATGAATAAAATCAACAAAAAAATAACTTTTTTCTGGATTTCTAAACTCAAAATGCAACAAAAAAATGCGCACTTCTAGCGTTGCTTGTAAACGCATTAAATACAAAAAAATTATTATATTTCCAACTAAAATCTAAAGTGAGGAGGGTTATTTTGAAGGGACAAACAGAAAATTGTGGACTCCCCCCCTGCAGCAGCAGCAGCAGAGAGAAAGGGCAGGTGGATCAGATCAGGCCATCTGTGGACTATAGAAGCAGGCCATAAAACGACCCTCATTGTTTGCACAGAAGCCCCACTTTTTACTATTATCTCACCCCCCCACCCCTAACTCCTTCATACAAATGCAAATGCAGAGCGCGTGCCAGAACTATGCATGCTCCTGCTGGCCCACGCAGACCACGTGGCCATCAGCTGTGCACATTTTTTTGTTTATTTACACTTTGGGCTGTTGGAGTAATGCAGCTTTTACGCAGGACTTGGCCTGTTCTACAGCAGGTCCTACAAATGCAGAAACATTCATATGTGGCATGATAACTCCATAAAAACATGCATTGATGTCTAAATTTGTAAATTAAAGTCAAAAATTAAAATGCATTTAGGTTTAATGTTTTTTCCCTGTATCTGTGACATCACATCTTCACCTGTGAGAACATAAGTTTAGAAGTCATGAATACAAGTTAGATAGTTCCAACTTATAAGTACACATCACAAATTTAAGAATTTAAGAGTTTGGGTAAAAACTTAAAGAGAAAGAATCACAGTTTCACCAATAGGATTTAATAAATTACAATTATGAATCAGATATTTCTGAGTACAAATCCAAACTTACATGTATGATTCACCAGAATAACAATTGTATGCACAAATTTAAAAGTAAGAGTGACACATTTGCGGTTAAGAATCAGAAATCTATAAATAAGAATCACAAATATATATATAAAAACTGAACTTTATCGGTACCAAGTCCAAACCTACAAGTTTAAATCACAAATTTATGAGTACTAATGACAAATGTATAAATACAAATCACAAGACTAACGAATATGATTCCGAATTTACTAAAACAAGTAATGAATTTACTTGTTTTACTTGTGTGATTCATAAATGCGAAGCACAAATTCACAAGTGTAACAGATTTAGAGGTAAGAACCAGAATTTACGAGTAAGAACCAAAAAATTATGACGACAAAGTTATAAGTCTGTTATTTGTTCTTGTATTTATAACTTCCGAACTTGTATTCTCACAGATGAAGGTCTGATGTCACATGTATCTATAAATTGACAAAAAGGAACATTATTTACTCAATATTTACATTCAGTGTATTCTCATTATCAGTTCGTATGAAATCGTACGAAAAGTTATGCACCGTAATTTCGTACGTTTTAGACGTTTTTTTCGTGTTTTTCGTCGTATTTTTACGTCTTGCCTCGAGACAAGAAATCCTTGCGCATCTTACGCACCATTCAATAACATAGAATTTAACATACAATTAACCCTGACCCTAAGATACAAAACAGCAAGCAACGTAGTTAGAGACATCAAGAAGTGATTATTGCACTGTTTTTCCCCGTTTTCCGTCCTTCCGCGGATCTGCTTTTTTCGTCTGTCTGGCTGCGCATGCGCACTGATCTGTTTTTTCGAGGAAAAACGTCAAAAACGTACAAAATACTGTGCATAACTTTTCGTACGATTTCATACGAACTGATAATGAGAATATGTTGCTACATTACTGACCTTCATTCTTTCAAACATTTATAACATTTATACCAATCATTTTACTGGCAGGTTGTCAGAGGAAAGCTCTGTGTTTACACCTTGTAGCTTTCCCTCTCCGTCCGTCTTCCTGAAAAGAGATCACTCAGGACAAACTCTTTAAATTACACTTAACAACTTATATATATTAAATAACCAGGATATATGACAACAGATTTAATAGAAACTGGCAACTGCTTACCAACCAGGCTCACTTCTCAGGAAGTGGCCACGATTAACAGTTAAAGAAGCATTTTATCCATTTCCAGTCTGCCACATTATTACATTTTACATCATATTAATTTGCAGATGAGGAGACATCCATGGTTCTTGCCTTATTAAAATATTACACTTTGTTCTTAGCTGAAGGAAACCGCTCTCATTCCATTTCTAAATCTTTGCCATGTACAGAATGAAGATTATAACTCAATATAGCTGGATCGAGAAACTGGCCTAAACTAGTCAGGAAAACATCAGTTCTGAGACGCAACAGGCAGCTAAAATTAAGCTGTATTAAACTCAAACATCATTGATAATTATTAGTGCTGCTCCGATGCCAATTTTTTGGCCCCGATACCGATACCCGATACCTGGCTGTGCATTATCGGCCAATACCATCTGTTTGAAATTGATGTGTGTGTATGAAGAACTGCATACTACTTGGATGTAAAATAATTGCCACCATGGCTTTGTCAAGCTGCTGCCTACCTTTGTGAAGCAGGAAAAAGACTAATACAAAGTGAATCCAGTAGAACTTTTTATCGCCTACCTGCAGTGGCGGTTCTAGACCAAATGAACCAGGGGGCCAGGAGGGGGCCAGCGTGTTTTCATGGGGGCACAGAAAAGCATGAATTAAAAAACAGGGCAAGGGGTTTAAATATATTAAGAGAGCGAAGTGAAGTGAAGTGAAATTTCTATTCAGTTATGTTTAATTAAAATGATATTTCTTATTAGGGCAATAATTTAGGAATTTTACATATTTTGGGCTTTATTTAAGTTAAAATGACCATAGTCTATAAAATCAGAATAACAAATCAAGAAAAAACTAGAAATTCAGCTGTAAAAATTAGAGCATTTTTTTATTTTGTTTTGCAAACAACATTTAGCAGATGAAAACTGGAATACTGGGATCTCAATACAACTGAAGCAATCCCCTTATTGTTTTTAAATAATTAGTAAAACATAATTTGTAAAGAAAAAAAAAAGAAATGAAATAGATCCAAAGGGACCTATCAGTAACCATGTCTGTTCCAGTGCATCATTAGAATTTCTTTGAGTATTATGTCTTCAGTGCAGGGGCCATAACAGGGGCCAGGACATGTTCTACAGGGGCACCGGCCCCCATTGGCCCCTGTCTAGAACCGCCCATGCCTACCTGGAATGGGTGACAATAGTTGAATAAACTTTTGGCTCTCAATATGGTATCAGTGCTCTATTAGTTGGTACTCGCTGATACTGATACCACAATTTTAGTGCTGGATCGGTATCGGTGCACCACTAATAATTATCCTAACCTACAGAATCTTTGTTTCACTGGATGTCCTTACCCTATTTCGTTGGTAGATGAATAATTTGTATTAGAATAAAGGGGCATATTAATGATATTTATGTTATTGGAAAAAAAAAAAAACATTTCCTCTTTTCAAACTTCACAGTTGTAGCTAATTTAGTTAATCTGTCGGATCCAAGCCTGACAAAATAAACCAAAATTCAAATTTACGCCAAAAAGGCAATCTCTGATTAAAGGAATAGTACACCCAAAACATGATTAGCCTTCATTTTCTACTCACCCCCATGCTGAACAACACTCTGGAGTACTTTTTTGATATCTCAAATGCATCTGGAGATCTGGGAGGCTTCTTGCTGTCTGCTGACATTCAAATAATGGAGGTCTATGGCGCCCGAGGCAGAAAGGTCCATAAAAGTCCACAAAAAAACATGTCAATATTCCTCCATACTGCTCGTCCAATGTATTCCAAGTGTCCTGAGTGGGTAGCGTCCAGAATTTACTCGAAACAAAGTCATTTAGAATGTTTTTAGAGCATAAACAGTAGTGTATAGGATTTCCTAAAAGCGCGTTCACGGCGCTACGGAAACCGTGGCAGACCAAACCAGATGAAAGTGCGCATTCAGCTCGGAAAAGAACTCATGCTCTTCCTCAACACTGAAGTCCTCAGACGTTTTTCTTTCGTTGTTTCTTTCTTTGCACAGGTAAACAGCACATTTCTTCTTCTACGCTTGCATTATCGGCAGAGAAGATGCGCACTTTCTGAATGCGCACTTTCGTCTGGTTCGGTCTGCCGCGGTTTCCGTAGACTCGTGAACGCGCTTTCAGGAAATCCTATACACTACTGTTTATGCTCTAAAAACATTCTAAATGACTTCGTTTCGAGTAAATTCTGGATGCTACCCACTCAGGACACTTGGAATACATTGGACGAGCAGTATGGAGGAATATTGACACGTTTTTTGTGGACTTTTATGGACCTTTCTGTCTCGGGCGCCATAGACCTCCATTATTTGAATGTCAGCAGACAGCAAGAAGCCTCCCAGATCTCCAGATGCATTTGAGATATCAAAAAAGTACTCCAGAGTGTTGTTCAGCATGGGGGTGAGTAGAAAATGAAGGCTAATCATGTTTTGGGTGTACTATTCCTTTAATACCTGCTTTTTATATCACCTTCTGTCCAAAACGTCACCCATGGGGGTGTGGTTTCACTTTTACGCACGCCCCTGTCTCACTTTTTGTGCAAATTCTCCAGCGTATTTGCACTTTTTATTTATTTGCATACAGTTTTATTTAAAAAAAACGCACATTTTGCATGAGGCATGCCTGCTGCTGCATGAATAGCTGAGGAGGGGGACACGAGTTGGCGCAGATTGATTCAGCGCTATTGTCCTGCAGCAGATGGAGAACTGTCGCTATGAAAGGGCTCCTCCTCCTCCTCCTCCTGTCAGGCCCAGGTCAAACCTCGACCCCCGGCGGTTCGGCCC